TGGATTAACTACTTCCTGCAAAACCAAGTTATTCATATAATCCAATATATATGGCTGCGCTTGAGCATACACAGACAATATAAGCAGTTTAATCCGGATCTTGTACATAACGGATTAACCTCAAGCTCTGATACCAATTGTTGGAACCCATGAGGATCTCGATATGCACAAATCACGGACAAACATTCAACATAAACCTATGCGCAGCGGATCTAAAGGTTTGATGAAGAAAACTTAATGCTTAAAATTTATGTAGATCTGGCTAGCCCGAACAGTTGACCGCAAATAAAATCTTCTCGGAATCGAACGAACTTGACCAATCCAGAAAGCTGACGTCACGGCGAAGTCAACGGCATTGACCGATCGGAAATCGGACGTGTCACGCGCTCTCACGCGCTCCATTAGTCTCCAGCAACTGCAACCTTCCGGCGGCGTGTGCGGGCGCGTGCGGCGGTGGCTGGCGGCGATCTCGACGGCGATCTCTTCGTCTCGTTGTCCTGGTCGTCATGGTATGGTCACTTGCTGGTTTTGGTCTCCGGTTTGGATGTGTGATAGATCTGATTGGAATCACGTATATACCTTAAGATCTTCTACTGTATTCTCAAACAGCTGTCTAGATCTTGTATCAGTGGAGCACAAGAAATAGAACTACTCCTTGGAAGAGATACAGAGAGGGGGCGGACGACTTCCAAGTTATGGGATTGTGTTCTCTCTTCCATGAGCCTAATGCTGTATATATAGAGCTACAGTAGGGACCCTAAGGAGAATAGGATAAGGGCTTCTAATATATTAATACTGTGGAGCAACCCCACAATTAATATATTAATAATATTAAAGTCCACCACAATAATATTTTTGCACTCCCCTCACCTATCCCAAATTACATTTGAGACTCCTTATTATAATTATCCGATTTACCTCCCCATGTTTAAGATATAATGTCCATTAATTAATTCGATCATTAATAATCAAGAATTAATTAATATATTATATTACGAAGCTAGCGCTAACTCGTAGCATTCATATTATGCCGGAATAAATCCACCTGCAGGGTTTAGCATAATATTCCTTCATGAACTCACTTCGGGGACATCATCATACTGACGCACATGGTGACCGTAAATATCCTAATAGCACATCGAACACATAATGTCATTACCCAATTCATTAAGTATGTCGACTCGGCTTGGATCTCACCCAAAGAATCAAAGCAACAACAATTATGTGCACATGCCTATTTAATATCTTACGGGTTAAGAGCACGCAATAATTAACTGAGGCCTAGTTCGTTTACGACGATCAGTATAAAACGAACATCCCTCTCTGGGATCCTATTCAATACATAAATGTACTAGTGCAACTAATCGGTCAAGACAAACCGTACGGTTGACACTACAACCGTTCCAATGGGTCGTTCAATTCCATCTAGGTTGTGAACCAATGATTCTTGTTTCGCAAGTAACTGATATAGTGATCTTCGGTACGCCCGATGACGACCCACTTATCTACATGCAAAACAACCGAACGTGGAACTTATTTAACCAAACATAATTCTCATTCATCAAGAAATAACAAGTGTAATATCCACTAAAGCAAAGCTTAAGTATATAACACCAACAAACAAACTTCAGGTCGTTTGTGAACTTCAAGTCCATTTGAACTTCAGGTCCTATAATATCCTCATTTGTTTCTTTGGATCTTTATCAACTTCCAAATATTTGACATTCATTAATGTTACAATTTTACATCTCTAAAAGAGATTCAAGTAGATTGGTTGGGTCAAAAATATTTATTCTAGGAGATGCTCGATCTACAAGTCGAGATAATACTCTTTGGTATGTAACCAAAAGTTTCATTCTTGCTCCGTCTATAAGCATGAGCTAACTTATTTAATCTTTTACATAGTGTTCACCACATTATCTATTTGACCGAGATTATCATTATACACAAGGTTCTACGTTGAATTACTTACTTTACTTCTTCAGGAAGAATTTAGTTGGTTGTACCACATCTTACCAACATTTTAAATAATTAAACTATTTATTATTTCGTTATCTTTGATCTCTAGTATTCGAGTCCATCCGGGTCTTTCACATATGACTCAATAGTCATGGTAATATGCTGCCATAAACATTAACTTGCGGAATCATTGATAATGAGAGAACTTATCTAAATAAATATTTGGGTCTCTGCATAAACCCATGAGCATAACCTCGCTATATTTACATCACGCCACCACATCACATGTTTCATATAAATATTCATTATCCTTCTGGGACATGTTATCCTTCTGGGATATATCTTGTAGCGAGTGAAAGCTCTTCCTCAATTTTCCTTTCTATCTCAATCAACCTAAGTGCTTCTGGCACTTTCATTATTTGGATCCGGATCATTATTTGAG